CCCCAAAACCCCAAAACCCCAAAACCCCAAAACCCCTTTTTGTAGATGTGAGATTGCAAGTTTTTAAGCTTAATCATCAATAGAAGTATCAGCAAAGTTCAAATTACAATCGTAGATTGATTTGAGGTCTTCATTGGAAGCTTTTTCGATTGATTCTAACTTATTAATGAAGCCTGAGAGATCTTCCATGCCTAAAGCGAGCTGTCCAAGGGTCTTGAATTTATGTTGTAAGACGTTTGTAAGGTCAGTGTCGGTGTTCCTAGCGTGGCCACCTGGGAACATGATGAATCCACTATCTACAGTATTACCATCAGTAGTTTGGATTTCAATGCTAGAAGGGATTCCTTCTGGATATTTTGAATCATACTCCTCTCCTCCGTGATGGAATTGAATCTTATCCATTAATTCACGAGTGATTGGAGAATAGAGAGCTGTTCCAGAATAATCATGAGGTGTAAGCATCAAAGTTTTCCAATATTCCTGAATGTCTGTTGAAGGATCAAGAGTGTCATGCTGCTGGAAAGCATTCTTTAGCATAGTAGAGATGATGTATACCATTGAATGATCAGCTGATTGCCTTGTAGTTGGATCCCACTTGGCCTTATCTCCAATGATTCCATATGCTGGCTCATAAGCAGTGATGTTAATCTTTTTAATATTACTTGCGTCACCATTTTCCAAAATTTGAGGATTTTCTCTGAGAAGCTTAATAAGTCCAGCGATAGCTCCTGCAGATTGATGTTCGTAAAGACCAAGCTTAAAATGCATTCCCATGACAGCAAAATCATCTCCTTCGTTAGTCAAGTGCAGGTTGAAGGGAGATTCATCTCTATCTCCAGTAGATTCAAAGAATCTAAAAATGGCTTCTGGATTTCTGAAGATATCTTTTGGCCCTATGAATCCATCCATAGCTCTGTGCATAGAAAGGATAGCTGCTTCAGTACTAAGTGCTGCACTAGCTCCTTTAGAGTCGCTCAGTTGCTTTCCAGCTCTGATGGCTCTCCATGGGATGTAGTGAGCTACAACCATTCCGATAGCATGCTCTATTTCGTCAACACTTCCTCCAAGCATAGCTCCATAAGTAGCTGCACTAGCAATAGCGCCGTGAACAACATGATCAATCTTGTAAGATTTTAAGGAGAATACTTCTGCCAATCTTCCTCTGATCTCATCCAAACAGATCATTCCTTTTAATGCGTCTTTGCCTGTAAACTTGGAATTGTTATGGGCTGCAGCAATAACAACTGGGTAGTAATCATTATGCCCGAATTCTCCTGCAGTATGACCTGGAATATTTGGGTTGTACCCAAAGACAGTTCCATTAGAGTCCCATTCTCTAACAGCAGAGGCATTGGCACAAATGGCTTTCTCAGAAGATACCCAGATATCTGATCCAAGACACTTAGATACCTTAGCTCCAAGAGAAATCCTCTCTTCACTTGCTCTAAAGCTATTGATAGCCTCATTTCTCAGCACATTGGGAGCATTAGTCTTCAAGGCAAGGGCTGAGACTCCACAAAGAACAGAGTCAGTATGGAAAAGTCTGACTTTTTCATAGACTTCTGGAGAGATATCCCTTTCAGAGTTCATGAAATCAATAGCGTATTCAGCGATTCCTCTAGCCTGATTAGTGTCCTTATTCAAAATAGTCTGTGTCGAGAAGCATCTAGATAGCTTGAAGCCTATACCTAGTGATTAGAATCATGACTAAATGCTGGATTTGGACGGGTTTCTTAAGACTTACTGTTCTGGATCTTTGTTAAATTGTTAAATCTCAGCATATTTAATAAATTAACTGACTTCCCTAGAAAATCTTTAAAAGGGGTTTTGGGGTTTTGGGGTTTTGGGGTTTTGGGG